GAGTCATGGTAGTGGGAGCGGGGAGGAAACCTTTAGGAACTAGAGGAAGGTTGTATTTCTCATCTTTGTTACATCACATCGCACCCTGACTGGCTCATCTCCTCCCCGAGACCCCTCTCCACTCTTCCTCCCCCTTCATGTGCTCCTGGCTAGCTTTCTTTAAGCTAGACAAGAACCAAGAGGACTGAGTGATGATCTCTCTACTAGCTATCCACTGTATTTTTAGAGATGAATTTCAGAGACTTAAATGAAAAATCATGTGTGCTTAGAGGACAGATAATTTACTCAGCTTCCGCAAGTCAGCTTCACGGAAGACTTCGCCTCAGGTCTTAAAGGATGACTGAGAGTGAAATATACAATAGCGATTACAGACATTTTGATATTTTTGTATTATGGGTTAAACCTTTTAGGGTCAGGATTTCTGTGAGAGTTATCATTACAGATCCAGCAAGACTCAGGGCAGTGCCTGGGGGACTAGATAGGTAGTGATGAGAAGGGTGCCTGCGGTATATAAGTGGTATTCACACAATTTTACTCTTATCCTTTTGTGTGGATTGCATTGTGGCTCTCAAAAGGATTGTTGAACTTCTAATACCTGCTACTGTGTCCCTATTTGAAAATAAGGTGTTTTATTTTTTTAAGTTAATGGACTCATACTAGAGTTGAGTGACCTAATCCCTTCTGGATGACGCCTAACAAAATGGGTAAACAGGCATGAGTGGCAAGATCACAGGGGAAGACAGACAACAGGTAAAGATAGAGGCAGGTCCATTTTCAAGCTCACGAATTATTTTCAGCAGCTACTAGCAACACAAACAAACAAAAACAGGACTTTCCTCTAGAGATAAAGCCATAACTTTGACCTTTTAGCCTCCTAAACTTTGATAAAATAAAATTTCTGGCTTTAAAATCACCCAGTTGTGGTATTTTCTTTGCTACCATTGGAGCAGGTAACTAGGATACCTTCTTACATCAGGTGCAAGACAGATCAAGAAGATTTGATCAAATGTACTTATATGTTGCACAATGAATCAGTGAGAGAGTTGAACAAGAACTCAGTAATAATTTCCCACTTCTGGTCTTTAGTTTCATCTACACAGCAGAACCAATCTCTAAGGACACGTATCCTCTGTGCCAATTCATTATAATTTAAATCGAATAACTAATATATGGGAGCTACTGTACATACAAAACAAAGTAGAAATGAAGGTATTTATTTTTATCTGTTGATTTTACTTATCCCATTTAGTTTCCTCTGATTGAACTAAAACATCTCAGGCAATGGAACAAGGACGAGAATGTATATCTCTCTCATAACCTTATCTACAATGACAGTGACAGACTGAATGAATTTTATTAAAAGCAATTTAGCATCGACCAGTTAAATATACAAACTACCCATCTGAATCAGAGATATTTCAAGACTTCTTCAAATTAAAGGGGAAAAAAATGTTGGGAGATTACATCACAAATTGGAACTGTCTTGGTAGGCAATTCAAAAGTAACAATGAAATAAATTATCTAAATTTAAAATATTTTATTCCATCTATCACAGTTTAAAAAAAAAAAGCAGCTGCATTTTCCCTGTCCGATCAAAATATTATAACACAAGCTAATTATTTTTAAACAGGCGTTTTGAGCTATGTTATAGTTTCTTGCCCCTGTCCCACAATGCACCTTCAAAAGTGTATTTTAAAAGGAGTTCTTAGATGATATTTCATCTAGAAAGTAACTATAAAGATGGGGAAGAACGTATTATATTTATCGTTGGCATTCTAAATGTCTTTTAATAACTTACGTAGAGTCGATGAAATTTTTCGAGCTAGATTTAATGTTTAACTCCTTGTTCTGCC